CGGTGGCCAATTTACCATTTCAACTTTGTTGATATATTCAAATTATTTTCCTCCGAGAGCCTGATACACAGGTTACTACAGGTGAAAATTATATTATGTAGGCTTGGCCATCGTTTCGGGGTGTCCATGATGGCCTCAGAGACAATGGAAAAATAAGTACATAATGGTTATTTTCTGTTACATGGGATGACACACTCAAAAGCGATTAACGATGAAAATTCCTTTAGACGCTAATTAGGAATTAATTGGTCAAACCAAATACTGCCGGTTTAATGAAAGAAATCTTGTATCTTGCAAATGTTAGAACTCGTTCCCTTATTAGAGTAACAGCTTCATACAAAATGAATATCAATGAATGTCCTATTTGAAAAAAATACACCATCTTGGACATCTCATACTGCTAAGAAAAAAGTTGACCAAAAAGTGAACAATAGCCTTTGTTTGGTGCGGAAAATTGGACATTTGTACTTGGAGCGTAGGTCTGTTGCGAAAGGTGATCAGTTTCTCGAGTACGGCTCAGGGCAACTGTCCGCTTAAAGTAACAGTAATGACCAAAGAAAATTACGAGCATCTTTTCGCGCCAAATTGAGCCTATACCTATTTTAAGCGCACGGACATAGTGTTTGGGAACAGCTGACAACAAAGGTGTATGGTTTGAAAATAAGGGATGGTGACTTGAGAAAAATCACCAGTATCTCAGATATCTTGATTTTATCAAGTGCATGTTTAGTCAGTTTAGTTATAAGCTTACATTTATTTTATAGAGCGACCACTGAAAGCGTGTTTTTTTGTACCTGAATATATTCCTTTAATCTCAACTTAAATGAAATAAATTTTATTTTGACCTACGGTTGATATCTAGTTGCACGAGTGATCCTCGCAAGTGAACAACATTTAAAAAATTCAAAAAAGAAGCCTTTGAAAAATTCAGGCTTTGACACGGCTTTTTTCAGGCTTTTATTCTGCATTATCTAAACGTAGTTCAAACGAAGAAAATGGCTGCACTTATACATATCGCTATAACTTTATAAAAATACTTATTCAGACTAAATCAGTAAATCTATTCCTGATATAACCTATGTCTAATTTCAAAACGACTTTTGGGAATTTGTTACCTCTTTTCAAAATAACGATACCTAAATTATCTAATGACGATACTATCCACATTTGGGATTTCGTTCAAGGAAAGTAGCCTCGGATTTACTCATGATACCGAAATTTCAATTGCAAACAGCGTTTAGGAAAATATAGATATGAATAAGTATAGAAAAAAAGTTCCTACAAAAATCAAAACAGCACTCACACGAGTTTGCATTTAACCACCCTCGGCTTCATCATTTTACACTAGCCTAAAGAGTTTTTCAGCTTTATCCTTGAGGTGCATGTTAGCTATAAAATAAATTTCTTTCACGGACATGTAAAGCAAAGAACTTTTCAATGAACCTGAGATACAAGTGTATCCTTTTAAGAGACCAATGTCGAACCTTGAGAAACCGTTGGTCAGTAACAGTCACCAATCGATCCAAAGCAGAATCCTAACCACTTATACTCCTTGCGTTCACTTCTAACTGTAAGGACGAAGCAATAAGATGATCTTGTCAAGTTTACCGACTGTACTAAACAACAATGGCATCTCTTCCCTTTTCCATTGTCATGGAAGTAGTGATTCATATTCGCTGCAATACCATCAGATCGTTAGTGTGATGCACATATTGTTGTGAAATACCAGTCCCGTTTCTTTTTCCAGCCCTATTACTAGCTTAAGCCAAGGGTGGCAGTATCAACATGATTCCCCTTGACAAAACTTGCAGACCTTCCTAACGAAACCATCCTTCACGAAATACTGAGAATAGCTTAATATATTTCTTCTCTCTTTTTTCCTCTCTTCCTCTCACTCTCCATCTTCATCCTCTTCGCTGCCAGGTGTTAATTCGGCGTCCTTTTGACCGTACATACTGTAGATATCAACCTCGCTGAGATCAAGCTTTGATAGCAAACTGTTAGGTTGCGAGTCAAGAAATTCTACTTCCTCCACAACATCTTCTCCCTCGTCTACAACGTCAGAGGTTCCACTGGCGCCCCTAACACTGATCCATCGCCAACAGTCCTACAAAGGAAAAAACGCCACTCTGAATTCTTGAAGTAAAGAAAAGGGCAAGTAAATTTTCCCAATTGCATATGCACCCCCCACTCCAAACTTTTCTCGTTTGGACAATGACGGATCACAGAGTGTGTAAACGTAACCAGTACGAATCGCTAGTACCTTCGCTGACCCGGCGACAATAGAATTAGTCAGGGTCTTTGAACACAATTGGGAGGGTCTGGTCTTTGAAAATTGTGATTAAGATTCGAAAACTTGAATGTACAAAAGACAACAAAAGGACACTTTATAATGAAATGATTTCAGGTGAAAATACTTGCCAAGGTGTGTTGGGAAAAACCACCCAACCATCCATTTTGCAACAAGAATAAACTTACTGATAAAACAACTTCCCATCCCTTCCCTAGAGGGTCAGTTGGTGTCACTCTGAAGCGCTGTTCAATGGATTTGCGGTTGATCATCCAGACCTTAAAAAGAAACAATCACACCAATAAAAACGACAAAATGAAAGTAAATAGCTGATAAACGACTATTCAGATAGAAAGAGATAAGTTTATAAATGCTAAGTGTTCACATTTAGTACTTACGTACACTAGAAATATTTGCGTGATTTATTGTCTTTGCTATGTACCTGGTTACTTGCTCCGACAGAAAGTGCCTCCACACGGAACTGCTGTGACCGCCAGGTAGTGCCCTCTGGGTAGGTGTCGGTGATGTTCAGTCGATACCAACACGTACCTAAAGAGAGGAGTCAAACTGTGTTGTCACGTTGATAGCGTTTTTTTTTATTTATTATAAGGTAGAGGTTGATTGAATGGACTACGTACTATAAAAAACGTCAGGTTTTGTCCAGTCTTGCTTAAAATTTCGACAGCAGCATACAGACATCAAGAGCTCAATTAAGGTCAACACGTGCCAGCAGTCAATAAACAAGCGTGAAATCTGGCACTCCTTGAAAGGTTGCTTTCTGGCTATCAACCTTGCCACAAAAATTAATTCATGAGAAGAAAAATGAAAAAAAAAAAAAAGCTATCTGATAACATCTGGCGACTCCCAACTAGGTTTTCAAAGCATTTCTACCGCTTAAACCTACGCTTTATAAAAGGGAGCTTTTACTGCTTCGTCAGGAAGAACTATCTGTCATCAGGAGCCCATTACCATGGGCTCCTGCGATCCTATAACTCTGGTCGTATAAAATCGGAACGACTCTCACGAAAAGGTGTTTCAAAACGGAATAAAGTAAATCCATATGGGGTTTATCTCACGTAAATGATTACAGTATTGATCAAATGCACTTCTTCGCGTCATGTTGTTTCCAAAACGCTTGTCTTCAATTAACCAAAACGTAAATTAAGACTGCCTCTTCGACTTCACAGAGAGGAAATTTATAACACTTCGGTTTTTTTCCTCAGCTTTTTACATTGTCTTCATGTGAGAGTTCAATATCATGCCAATCCCATTCTACTTCTAAAATAATTGACAAGAAGGAACACAACACAGTTTTGTTACCCATAAGTCTATCACTAATAGAAAGCGTTCACGAACTTAATTAAACGCACTAAGAAAGGACTCGCTGATAAAATGTGTCTTACCATCCTTCTCACGAGCCCACACTGAAGTCTTTCCAGCGGAAACTTGATACAAATGGGGAGGCCTCTCACTTATGTGGAACCATCTACTACCTGCAGAAAGAACAAGTAAATGTTATAATGTGTATCCAAGTACACAGTCTTCTAGCGCAAATGAAATGTTCTAACTTAGATTGATAAAGAATAAACTTCATCCTATTGAACAACTGGGAAAGCGCTACAGGTACAGAACCATACACAACTGCTTTTGATTCAGCTCAATTCAACTGGTCCAGTGAGATCAAAGGCTACCAATATTCTACTTGAATTATTCAACGTAAGTATTACATATTTGTGCACGATCCTCGTAGTAAAGAGCACTATTTAAGCAATAGTGAAAATCAGACCTGAAAAAATTCAGACCTGTACGGGATTCGAACCACTTCGAACTAGTGGTTCGAATCCCGTACAGGCCTGAAGTTTTTCAGGTCTGATTTTCACTATTCATTAAATAGTGCTCTTTACTACGAGGATCGTGCACAAATACGTTTCTATAACCGCAGTTCAGATATATGAATTTCATAAATTCGTTGTGTAAGTATTACAGCTATTGGTGTGGATATTTGTTAACCACACACGTTTCATAAATTAAAAGAGAAGTCTGATCTAGAACTCTGAATACGTATAAAATAAATAGTATTCTTCCCACTAGATATTGGAACAAATGCCGGGTTGATGCTGAAAGCGTTTGAAAGCAGTTTTGCATATGTAGAAACTGAAGGAAAAAGAAAGATTAACTAGCTGGTGAATAGCTTCACATTCTCCTTCATGTTACCGTCCATACCTGTAATCTTATTTTCTCCGAAGCCTGCTCTGAAGTAGGCCGTACCATTCTCAGCTATCCCCCAAACGCGTCTTTTACTGCCCACGGAGATACTGATAAATGGCAGGTCCGTCAAAATGTGCTCCCAAGAGGACCCCTGAGGACAAAAATAAGAGTCTTCCATTCAAAGATACGTGCATACTGGCCAATTGAAGCACTCATCCATTGGTGTGAGCACCCTTCTAGTTCGATTGTAAGGAGTCTTGCATATGTCGCATCACCGAGCCTTTCTCTGTTGTTACTTTCCTGTAACGAAAACGTGTAACGCACAAAGGCCGTGGTATTTTTCTCGCTCACATATAGGGTACGTCAGGTGTTTCTTTTCAGGTACGAGCATATTGGCCGTATGTGGTACAATCAATGTCTACTTCTCGCAACACTACGACAAATTTCAGACAAAAGAGGAAGTTGACCCCTAGTGCGACTCTTCTGCAATGTTACACTGAGAAAAATTGCGAGAAAGGTGGAAAAAATGCCGTATCATCGGTGGTTTTCCTCTTTAAAAGGGCTTAGTGGTACATACTGAAAGTTTTTTTTAACTGGAACAACCCCTTTTAAACATAGAGAGTACTCATCGCTAACTAAAGGGATCGCAGGTATTCATTTTGAGAAAAGAAAGCCGCTTTTTACGCTCTTAAACAAACTGAGAAATTTTTGGCCGTACAAAGAAATAACCCAGATATAGAAAGTAGATTCAGAATAATGATTTCTTAGAAGGGCAAAAGCAAAAATAGATAACGATAAGAGAAAAAAAAAAGAACCGAGGATGACAACCACACATTGCGTAAGACAAAAGTAAGCAATTATTTTTTTCGGGAAAGGTAAAGTGCCACAAAGCTTGATCTTGATAGTACTAATGTTGGGATAAATTGACCACTTAGATCTTACATATGTTGACAGAAGACATGTACCACAATAGTTTTTTTTATCTGACGATTGACAAGTTTTTTTAAACCTGGTGTCAATCCTGATAATTATTATTAAAACAAAAGAAAATATTTAAAATTCACTGACATCCCGTTGGGTAGCTTTTTCTTTCTAATAAATTCATTGGCAACAGATCCACACGCCAGTAAGTCTATTTTTCATACACACAATGTCACTAACGCATACAGGATTTATACAATGATTATGAGTTTTCGTCACGTACAAAATGACATTTTCACTGATCTCGCCTTCAATTCTAATGACAGCCAGTTATTACTGTTCGGCTTATCACGGTGTTGTTCTCCAAACGTCTCTACGCATAATATTTGTTCACAACTTTAATGGCAGAAAAAAGTGTGGCTTACCGGATAAGACCATCTCTACCAGAAATGTTTCGTTTAATTATCTGAAGAAGAAAAATAGTGCCGCTTTCCTTCGGCGACATCTACCATGCGGTTCATGGATAATGGCTCCTTTTAATACAAACCGAAGATAACCCATTTCCTTGCCTCAGGCCATAATTTTTCCGAGTACTTTTGAGAAAAATTCACCACTATTTATTGTTATTAATTTCTTTCATTACTTTAGTCATTTACAAGCTCTGGGTGTAAACGAATACTACAAAAGAAACTATAGTACCAGAATGTACAGTCATTTTCTCTCTTACCGTCAGATATTAACAAAAATTATCGAATTTCGGTGTGAAGCTTTTTATTACATATCAACACAATTGTGACAAGAAATGAAATAATTGCGAATGGAAGATGAGATGTGTCGCCTATCAAAAACCTAAAGAGAATCTTTCAAAAAAGGTTGGCGTTTATAATCGTAAAAAAAGAACTGAAACTTACCATCTTTCTCATTCTATATACAAAAACTGAAATATTTCATAAAAGAGAAAATGGACATAAAAGCAAACTCACTCCGTTAAACCTCTATCATTCAGGTGAAAATTGTAAGATGAAATTAAAGTCCGAAAAGACTAGAATTCTGAGCTCGAGCTCTATTCAAGTTTCGAGGCACGCAAACAACTGAGTTTTATCCATACGAAAAAATTGTATTCATTTAGCTATTACATTTATTTAATAAAAACATTTGAATTCTTAATGTTTCTGTCAGCAAATACTACTTGCAGCTTACACCGTAGAGGGTTCGTCTGACAACTTGTTTGACGTCCTTGATTTTCCAACAGTACAGAATCGGATTCAGTGCTGAGTTAAAATAAAGCAGGGTTACCATGTAAGAATGAGCGATAATTATGGCTTCACTGCCACCGAAAACCGCCCAAAGAGCTGCAACAATCATATAAGGAAAAGAACAGATCAATAAAACACAGTAAACCCACAAAGCAGTGCAGACGGTTTTCTTGTATCGCCTTATACTCGACACCGAGCCGCTTACAGTACTGGCCGTGCTTGTGCTTGCTTGATCCCAGGCAGTCGGCCTTTCTTGCCGTCGATTGTTTACCTGCCGAAGAATTCTGTGAATCGAGATGTAGCTGTAGGACGAAACGAAGATACTGACAAACACACCTACTATTTGCATGGCCATGAATGTCTCTCGGCTCCACACGCTTGATGTCCCAGCTATGAAACATGTAAGCCATGTTACTGCAACAACAACGCGAGAGCGATAAAGGGAAACTACCTCTCTATACCTGATCCTCAATCGAAGCGCCAACAACCGATCAACGCTGATCTCTGCGGTCGTCAAAAGAGATATTCCGCTCAATGTGAACCCAACTACATCCAAGTAAGGCAACAAGCTGGAGCACAGTACTGCGTTTCCCGTCGCAGAAGTAATTATGTACATGAAGTTGAACGGTTCTACCATTAGGCCAACACACAGATCACTGGCTGCTAATGAACAGAACAGAGTTCGCGATGGTGGATGAATCGAGGATACCCCGCGAATAACCCACAGGATTAGCAGGTTACCAAACAACGCACCGAAAAGCAAAATGAGATTCACAACAGAAATCAAGATCAGGGATGGAACAAGGATGGTACTGCGAGAAATATCATCTAAATCAGGGCATTGTTTCATGTTCAAAGATGGTCTGGTGTGTTCGGAAGTCGATGAGTTCATGTCCATCTCCTGACAGTTTCAGGTAATATAAACTAGTGTCGTGTCAGCTCACTTTAAAATCCAGTATTAAACCAAATTTATGACTGACAATTCGCACGTTTTCGTTTGAACAAAACAAGTGCTGACAAAATCATAAAACCTCTCTTTACCTTCGAATACATCAAACATCACTTCGTCAAAACTGTGGTGGAAATTTTGTTGCATTTGGTGATGTGTACTGTTTGAAGTGTCGTTTACAATACAATGTTAAGCAGCCCTATAGCAATATGTAAATTCGCCCCTTGATAGCATCAACCAAGAACACCTAAATAATCTGGCACCAAATTACGTTTATTTTAATCATACCGCAGGGAACATCAGATTCAACACGAATTCGCGAAGGACACAGTTTCCAACATTTACACATTTGTACCGTGCGAAACAAAATTCAGAAAACTTTACTGACACAACCCTGCAAGCTTTGTCTTTTTTATTTTACGCGGGAAAACCGCTAGCTTTATTTTTCCAGCTTTTAGTTTATGACAAGAACCACTCCGAGAATGCAAATTGCTTTGGCAGCGAAGTCTGACTCACTCTTTTCATCCACCAAAAATTAAGAAAAAAATAGTAGAACTAACTTGAAGATATCTGTTCCACTTATAAAAAGTTCGTTAACAACGCTAAAACAGCGGCGATATCACAGCTGGAGGTGACATTACGGCTGATGTTATACACCATTACGAATAAGTCAGTGCATGTTATACATCATTACGAATAGTCAGTGCAAAGCTATACCGGAGTTGCGTGGCAATACAGATAGCTTGGAACAGACGAAAAAAAAAAAATCCTTAAGAGCAAGAACCATCACTTTTCATATTGTCATTTATCGATTCCTTAATTATCTGGCAACTGAATCGTTTACATATTTACCGTTAATACATCGCTGGAAGCTTTACCAATTTATTAAAAAGGAGTCCTCTTCTCAAAACACACCCAGAGACGATAGAATACAGCAAACATCTTTGTTTTAGGTTTCCTCAAAGCATGATCCGAAGAAAATCAACGGGATAACAGATAAATATAGTATTCAGAACATGTTCAAGAAAATAGCGCATACCGGATATCTAATGGTATAGCCACCTACCGACAACTCACTCGTTTCATCCTCAGTTAAAACCAATTATCCTGCATGACACTACCTCTGTCTTGCTTTTCAGCAATTATCTCAGTTACAGGTGCTTTTATTTCTGAATTAATCAAAAGGTTAACTTTTGGCAGACTCTCAGTATTGTTTGAGTGTTGTGTGCGTACACACGAGTCTATAATTGAGTGCTGACCAAAATCAAACCCCGAATTCTTTATTATTCTTAGGAGGGTGCATGACCTATATAATCAGATGAAAACTATCTTGAAAATACCTATATCAGACATCAAAAATAAACTCGCAAGAATTTTCTGCTTTGATTAATCAAACAGCTGACTTAAATGTAAAACTCGTTAAACTTTGTGTAAGAGAGAATTAAGTTGAATCCATTTTACTATTCACTTTCCAAAGAAACATTTCAAATCACTACTGAATTTTCATTTCTCTTTAGGCAGACTGCTAACTGATAATTAACAACTACGAATAGACAAAGGGAACACATTTCATAAAAAAAACATGATCTCATATGATGATATCTCCAGGTGGAAAATGATAATCGGGCATAAACGTGAGTACATTCTCGCTAAAGAATGAAGCTATTGGCTTAAGTTACCTTTAGTAAGCTTTAGCAAGCTTTCCTACTGAAATGACTCGAAGATAATTTCTTGGCGTTCAAAGAGCACGGAATAGTGAACCGGGATGACACTTCACTATTTTGGTAAAACGCAAAACAAACAGAGGCGCAATTCCCATTTACAACATGCTGTGAATTCCATCTCGACCACCTTGGAAACAACACCTTACTGTCAAACTAAACAGATAATTAAAGCTTACAAATGAGCTGGCTCCCGATCAGTGGCTTCATTGTAGCTCAGTTGGCAGAGAATCGCACCGGTATCACGGGGCTAATCGGTTCAAGTCCCATGGATCTGTAATTTTGCATTAAATGAATTCAGAATTGAATTTTAATACCGTCATTTATTGGCTTTACGCCTGCAGGTCAAACAATGCTTTGATATAGCAAGTTTTTCTGCGAACTTCTCCCTGGTTGTTGTATCGACTTCAGTTTAAAAATTAGAAAGTATTTTAGACAATCCGCATTGACTAACAAATCATATCCTTCACTAAAATAACGTAACGACAGCTGTAAGAATTTCGCGTTCGCACTAAAAAGGGACAGAAAAGAGGAAGAGGCACAGACTGGGAAGAATACAAAAGACGAATTCCAAGAACCTTTAGGTAAGTCAGTGCGAAAAACATCTTTGCTTCTAATGTGCTTAAGTGACCGTTGCTTTGATCATAGAGATGACCCGATTGCTATTCACTAGTTAAAAATTTGCTATCCAGTGATCCAGTGGAGTGTAGGTTGATTAGGCTCGATTCCCATCACTTTCTCAAATCGGCGGCGCGCGTGCACTTATTTCAAGAGCAGTGGCGGGTTATTAAGCTTATAGTTTGATTTTTGCGCAGGATAGCGGTTTATTCCACGCATGGCCTCGTCCACAATATCGACATCCTGATCATGATAAGAAACGAAAATGAGGCTTATTACCTGTAAGGCCAAATAGACCGAGCTAAAGAAACTGTGACTCCTTTGACTCAGCACTGCATAAGCAATGCCATTGGCAAAACCCACCTCGTTTCCTGTACTTCAGTGGTAAATCCTATGACATGAGCCACGTTTCTAAATTGTAATCTAATTTACCTGCGGACAATCCTCGGCCACTCCATGTCGATATAAGACATCACCTTTTGTCCCAACCGTCCACACCGCTATGGAACCATCCAGTGAATCAGTTTGAATCGATACGTCACGTAATCTGACTTGAGGCGTCACTTGGATCCATGGCCCAGTAGTGGTCAGTTTACATCGTCTTCGGTTCAAAGAAATGTAACTATTTTGTTTTGATTCAATGATACCGAGTAGAAAGCCTCTTCTTTACTTGTGCAGTTACAAATCCCCGTCTTATTCATAAGCGACAGCAACAACAAATGAAAAAGTTGTAGTAATACCAGATAATGATCATGATAACGATGATGATAATGTTGATGATGATGACGATACTGATAACAGAGTCAAACCTGCATTAAGCGGTCACCCATGGGGAATGGTGGGGTGATCACTCGATACAGTTTCAACAGAAGAGGGGTTGATAAAAAGACGCCATTTTTGCCATAATTGAACACTTAATGTACAATTGCCCAAAAATACAATTAACATTGATTTCGGGAGAGAAACATGGGTTAAATTTTACTTGAAAGATTATTCTTAGTTTCATTTGAGTGGATCCGCTTAAGTGACCATTCAATGCAGGTGGAGGATAAAATAACTCAGTAAAGGGTGAATACGACCGCTTAATAGAGATGACCCGCTCAATAGAGGTGAAAATTACAGTGATTAAGAGGAAACATATTCAAAACTTTGACAACTGACCGCTTAATACAAGGTAATCGCTCAATACGATGCTGCTTAATACTGGTTCGACTGTTACCATAATCAGAAAAAGAAAATAATGCTAAGGGTGGTAATGATAATTGTTATCATCATCGTCATCATAATCATAACTGTATTTATAATTGTATTAAGCGATAATAATCCCTTCATTGTGTATAAACTTCGTTTAGTCTCAAGCCTTCATACGGTAAATCGTACTTTAACCTGTCTGTGATTTTTAGGCTGATCATCCACACGATACCTGTGGTTGGAGTTTTATCTTTCAACGAGTATATTTTTGAAAGAAAGACATTTGGTAAAGAAAGCCACCAAGAACAAATAAACAAACGAAACACAATTCAGACCTTTTCCATCGTCTCCGCCTTACATAGTCATTCCAGCCACGCTCTCGACGATAGACCCTGAGGAGGAAGAAAGGCGGGGTGAACACATTCCGGACACAGTAAAACACAGCAGTTTAGAATATTGTACATTTGTTAGGAGAGGATATGTTTTTTCATTTTTTCTTATCCCAACGGGTTTATCTATCTCAGCTGGTTAATAAAGACGGAAAACGATGTACGGCACAAGAGATTTGTATTATGCATAATACAAATTATAGTAATCACAATTCGAGCGAAACACTCCATCTCCTCTCCCACCCCCCACTGTCTGTGAGGGAAATCCAAACCTTGGAAAGTCTACAGCATACTGCCAGCCATCCTTATCTGTAATGTTTGGTTTGGTCTCTACTGTCCACTCCTCAGTCCACTGCCACTGACTAGATGGAAGCACGTACCCCTCCCTTGTACGTTCATACACTCCGCTCTCATCACTCCAGTTCCACCGGTCACTTGGAAGGCGCCTGCGAGGAAGTTTCACGCAACAAAGTTAAATGTAAGTTATGTGGCCTTACAGTGGGTGTTTGCTTAGAAAGACATGGCGATGAAACCATCACAGAGGTAACCTATTTTCAGCCTAACCATACTTCTCTCACTTATTAACCCGATATTCTCCATACTGTTTCTATACATTTCCTGAGGTGCTGAGAAGAATTTTTTTCAACAATCAAAAGCTAGTTTAAATGGTGATCATTTCCCTTAATCTTTTGCCCTTTATATTTGATCTAGGGTGATATTGCAAGGAGAAATGAGATGTAAATCACTCTGAGGTGTCAAAAGGTTAAGACTAACAATGTTGTATGTATCCAATTATTTAAAAGGTTATTTTTTATTCCCCAATGCTCAAGAGATCCTAAGTTGCAAAGAGCTTGAATTAAATACATTTTTGACCACTACAGGTTAAATATATTTACCTGACAGGCACCTGCTAAATTAGACCACTTTTCACATGTCCAAGTCTGAGTCTCCCACACTCTATTGGAAAGAAAACCACCAGTAAACACTTACATGTCTTGACTGAACATCAGTTCAAATATTAATCACAAGCAGTCAATGTTATTCTTCGAAGCTCAAGAGATGAAAGTTTAATTTATACCTAAAAGAAGCATCATATTGGAATCTACAACTGCCAGAAAAAAGTAATGCATTTAGTCACCACAATCAAGCAGGGAAAACTTGTATCTGGGCTTGATGTAATGAGCTGAATGATTGCTTTGATAACTATAACAGTTTTTTTTTTTCCAAGATGACCAGACATGTCAATTTTTATTGTTATATTTTGGCAAACAGTCTAACCTGAACAAGCTGGAGGGTGTAGCAGTAAATACATNATGGATATCAAAGTAACAACTTGAAAACAGAAATATTTAAATCACAAGACAAATGTGAAATATTGAAATTGTTCAACCACTGTTCTACTAAAGACAATAAAGAAAACATCGCGCGAAGGAGAACTGAACCTTTTAGCGAGAAGTGATATTGATAGTAGAACCAAGCTGGTTTACCTATCAGAGTATCCTTCCAAAGGGTTCCATCTCTGATTCTCATAAATATAATGCCAGTCGTAATCCTCCTGTTGGTAAATTCCAGACATACTGCTGTCAAAACCACTAAAAATACCTCCACCATATCCCCCAGAGTAGTAATAAGGCATTCCATCAAAACCAATTGCCCACACTACTCCAGACACACCGGCTTCTACTTTACGCATATGTCCGCCAACTTGCCGCCAAAATAATTGAGCTGGTTGCATCTCAGTTTCTGGTGGAGGCGGCTCGCAAAAGAAAACGTCACCGCAAAGAGATGTGGTCCAGATGGCCCTTGATGAAGGGGACCCCTCGCAGTTATGTACCCGTGAGGCAGCACTGGCCAGTGTTGTGACCCAGTCAATGAGTTCTTTTTCAGATCCGGTATAGATCACCAGAGGGTTTCGTTCTTGAGTTCTTAAAGGCGTGTGTACAGCGAAACAGTTATTCCGCGACATTTTGTGAGTAGTACATACACATTTAATGTCTCGCAAAGGAATCCGCATTTCTTCATACTGAGAATTTTTCTCATAGTAGCAATGCAAAGCATCTGGCCGTCCCTCGGTTCCTTGGTCGAGTTTCACCATACACTCGTACCACAGGTTGGAATCTGCAGCGGACAGCATCTGGAAACGAGCCTTTTTACACCATTCACCCTAATATGTGTTGAAAAGGGGAAACGTTAGGACAAAGAAAATATAAAAGCCGCCAACTCAATTCACTGTGTTTAACCACTCTGACACAAAGATACACCATGTTGCCATTTTCATTAAGCCAGATTCCACCGATACAATGGGTGCTCAGCAATAGGCCACAAAATGGATATTTCGGTTTGAGGTCAAATAGCATGGTAATTTTGCGCAAGCTTCGTTGGGAATTCAATTGTGAAATACCTACAGAGGTTCATTTGGAACTGAACCCTACGCAATTCCTTACCATTTGAACTGATCCTGCGTTTCACACTTAGAGAGGGGCGAAACGCCGAATAAACATAGGGTACGCACAACCTTATGCGGTTGGTCGGTCGAATTCGTATCATTATGTATCACCAACCGAATCTTTTCTACAAATGTTGAGTAGCCAGTACATCACACGTGTTCATATCTTATCCAAATGCTTCAGCCGCTCATATAACCCACATCTCGCATTCACATCGGGACGGCTTATAAAAGCGATCGCAATACTGTCTCAGTTAAGTCACCATAGATCATAATGACAAAGAAAAAAACCGTTGGTTCATAACAGACAACTCAACCTTTTCAAGGAAGGCTAGATCTAAAGGAACAAAGAAATGTGGATAAAAAAAATCTCATACCAGCCATGAAATTAGACTTGCGTCAGATATTCTACCTCATTTTAAATTCAGTTCAACTGTTCCCTCGCGTACAGCATGTAGCATGATGTCATCGCCCAAATGCATGTTCATATCACACCAATCAACACATTTTTTTCCAGCTTTCACTGACCTGTGAGATACCTTCTTCGTACTTGTTGTAGTGCCCTGTTTCCTTGTTGTCTCTTTCCCGCAGTCGCTTTATTACGCTCTTCCTCCAGGCGGCATTCCTACTACTTAAACTTAGATTCATGCTGCTGGCCGAGGAAACCAGACTGCCACTTATCTCGGTGAATATCGAAGAGTCCACCTCACAAGCTCCACTGCTGAGCCAAGTCAAAAATTCGATGTTGGACGGAAGGTTAGATGGATTGGCGAGACTGAAGCTGTCATCAGACTCAGTGAAGACACCTTCAAGTAGAAAAACTCAGCTGCAGTACATATATGTAAGTCTACCTTTACATTTTATTTACTGGGCTCATTCCAAAGAACATGGTGAAAACGACGGCAAATGCATCCTAGGGCGAGATTAGTTGATATTATAAGTTCATTTCCACTGGCGATAAAACCGATGAGATGCAAGATGTTGTGGTATTGCGCATCCGCCCAGGTTAAATCCAGATTAAATCCTAGCGACTATAAGAAAAATTCAGTTCAGATAAGTTCACGGTAATTTCGCTCATGAGAAAGGTGATTCCTCTTCCTTCGCTTGCAAAATAGTTACCTCTCTGCAATACTCCTAACTTTTACAATGCAACGCTTAAAATCAGTAGATACTTTGTCAAGCATTTCCCCCAGTGAAAATGAGTGCCTTGAGCTCTAACTTGCGTTCTTTACAAACTGCCTGCCATCAAGCTGTTCGTAAAACACGGGTTTTGGTCTTCGGACTAAGAATGATGAGCAGTCCTCATCTGATACATAATTTTATTAATAACCTTACTTTCACTATTTTCAGCTGAGCTGCTGCCGTCAGAGCTGCTGCCGTCAGAGCTGACTGTATCTAGGCTGGTGGCTTCGCTGCATGATATTAGGGGCTTGTTCATGTGCACGACCTTCCATGTCCTTCCCACAAGTTCGTCAGACGTCACATCTGTGCGAAAATAAATGTGGTCCCCCAGAGTACTGAGAGCAAAGACCTGCAAAAAATGACAGCAACATTGAATATGAAGGTTGAATACCCTAAATTTGTTGAAATTTCAAGGAAGCAATGGTTATTAACGACATAGGATATTCCAAATGAAATACCTAAAATTTTTCAAATCTCTTTAAAAAAGTATTTGAATTGTATGATCACAGCCACAAAGATTTTGCAATGTTTTATAGTGACTATTTTAAAACTTTATACAAATAAAAACTTTGATAAGCTGATTGCAATTAGAAAGAAGTTTTTGTTTCTTTTCCATTGAAAGCACACTACCCCACTTTTTTGGCTTGTTATATCACCACAAATGAATTTCACTACCAGCCAACAGTCTATGAATTAACATTTAGTATCTAAATATCAAAGCTATCATTTATTTGGTGGACATGAACCCAAAATGCATGCATTGTTACCATAACACTTCCATACCAGGTTACACAAGACATGACAATTGCCCTAGCTCTGGCCACTACCCACCTGGTCATTTAAACCAACAGTAATTAGGGAAAATTTTCCAACCATTTGCACCCATCTGGACCCAGTCACAGTAGTTTCGCTATCACTTGCTCTTGACAAACCTTTTCTAAACCAAACCTGAGAGGCAAAATGCAGGCAAGACTATATTGACCAAATTAGAGAGTAAACTGTAGCTCAATCAAAACTATGATTACAAATAGTCACATTGGAGTTTTGTCCTTGTATGAATTTCAGTCTTTGTTGTAGAAGTTGACTTGGTTTGTCATAGAATGATTTATAATTATAGAGGCACAGACAGAGGTGATCCCTGGTCAATAACCGATGCACATGATATGCTAGCAATAATATTGTTTCCTCTACATTTTCACTCTCATTTTCATTCCCACAGTTATTTGTGCTGCACTGCACAGTGGCTTTGTCCTCATGTAACACTTGCACTCCTACATTTGGAGAGATGATTTAAATTAATTAAAAAAGAAGCTTATGAATTATGACATGATGCACCATCAGAAGCTAGAAGCAAAAGTTGAGTTTCCAGTAAATTGGCAAACTGATTAACATCAAAACACACATATCTATATATCAGTTTTTAAGAACAATTTTTCGTAGTGGACTAGGTCCACAGCAATTCTGTCATTGAATGCTAACCTGGCCATCTTTGGTTAAGGCCCACAGACAGCTCAGTCCAGCAGATACTTGTAAAAGATGACATGGTTCCAGTTCTGGTGCTGCATCTGGGGATGCCACTTTTTGCCAAGCTGTTCCTGTGCAAATATATCAAAGAAATGACTAGTAAGACCATATTATGCATCAATCATTACACACTCAAACCTGCAGACTTTGGATTAAACATCAACTTGGAGAATGGTTGACTGAAAACCTGATGCAGGAGGACAGGTTTTGGAAATTTTGCAACAAGCAGCTTCTGAAGCATTAATGGGGCATTTTACCAAAACCACCTAACTTCCACTCTTGAACTGATTAACTTAAGTTAGTAAAGTCATAAAAAATAGCTAATGAATATAAAAAAATTAAAAAATAATAACTACTAGACTCCAAGGTCTAATGGTGCTCTCACAATAGTTATTGTAACAAAATATCTGATGGCTTATGAATGCCTGCATTGTAAAATTCCATGGGGATATTCACTTCCTTTTATTCTGGCTACTTTCTGTTCTTGAAACCTTTTCACATTTTACACAAAGATGCAACATCTTTCTTTGAAAGACAGAAGTCTTATTTTTCCTTGATCTTACATCCAAATAATAAGATTCCACGAAAGCCCCTAAGTAATTATCTTCCTTCTTACCAGTTGGTTCATAGAAAGAGACTCCAACCCGAACCACAGCCACTCCTTCCCATGTTACTCCCCACACCACTCCTGACGGGCTCACAGACAGCTGTGTGATGCTGATTTGGGGGGAAGGGACCACTATCCACTTTTCACCTTCAGGACATTTGTCAGACACCCCAGAACGGTAAATAACCTTAAGGTCATGTCACATGCAAAATACGAAGCATTTCTGTGAGTATTTGAGAGCAGTCCATTGACCTCAAAGAATATATGTTTTGTGGATTTGACTTACTTCTGAGGTACATCTAGCAAACTTTTAATCTTATACATTTTTGTGGTTACACATGTTGGAAAAAGTTTTCATACTTAAAGGCACAAAGAAGGAAGAACAGGTTAATTATAACCTGTTGTTACCTTTATGTTTAAGACTTCTGGCCCTCTTTTAAATTATAATCTATTATAAAGCACAAATTATTGAAAAAGAGGCACCATTTTGAGCCCTTACATGTCCTTATAAAAGAACTTTGTAAGAACATTCAAATAAAGGAACACTCGGTTAGGATTGATCTATTCTCTTCAACAGGACAGCATGCATGTATACATGGAAAGTTAAAAAATGATTGCAATAATTGAGTTAAAGCTCAAACCTTTCCCTGAAACGTAACTGCCCAGACTGCCAGATAACCAGGATCTCTTCCGGGAATAACTGCGCCACCAACAGCAATGTCTTGGAGGGGATCCTTTCCTGGGTCTTCACTTAAACCAGGAACCTAGAGATGGAGGGACAAACAACAAACATGAAAATGAACCTACAGATGGAGGGACAAACAACAAACATGAAAATGAACCTACAGATGGAGGGACAAACAACAAACATGAAAATGAACCTACAGATGGAGGGACAAACAACAAACATGAAAATGAACCTGCAGATGGAGGGACAAACAACAAACATGAAAATGAACCTACAGATGGAGGGACAAACAACAAACATGAAAATGAACCTGCAGATGGAGGGACAAACAACAAACATGAAAATGAACCTACAGATGGAGGGACAAACAACAAACATGAAAATGAACCTACAGATGGAGGGACAAACAACAAACATGAAAATGAACCTACAGATGGAGGGACAAACAACAAACATGAAAATGTTACAGGTAACTTAAAAGGAACATATAGAAGTATCACTACAATTGACTTATATATATGGTTAAATGTGAATTCATTTAAGAGGGATCATTCATTTAAATTGTGATCTAGGAAAAATTGGTCATGTAATTAAAATACTGGTATTCACAATTTATTGTTCTTCTTAAAATTAATGACATTAAGTGAGGTTACTGTAACTCTTGAAACAGGTTAGATTATATAACTATGGTACGAGTATGTCATCTGTGTACATGAATACCAAAACAGACTTGGAACCAATAACAAAATCATGGTTAATATGTCTGCAATGCACTGTATATAGGTCTATAACTCTTGGAAAGTATACCTAATTCAACCTTACAACTTTCCTACAGTGAAAATGCCAAAATATTTGATTGGCTAAAAGGACAAAATGCACATTTCCCAGCCTGAGTGCAAGTTGAATTCTACTTGCAAGACTTCAAACATTACAAAGTTCAAGGAAACATCTTTGCAGTGATATCACAAAAATATTATCATTTTTGAGTAAGTTTTATTTTCCAGTTCATGAAAGTAAAATCACTTCTAGGCTTTCAGCCAATTGATGGAATTTAAAGTGACTGGTATTTTGCATGACATTTCAGTGTTGCTTTTAGCCTAAAAAGATAAGTAAGGCTAACCTTAATCCAGCGGTCATAGCCATCAAATCTGTAATATCTTGACCACAATCGCCTTCTTACACAAGATGTTGTACTCTGTTGTGGATGATAGGTTCTTGGAAAATCAAGAGCATATTGCCAACCCTTGCAAAAAATTAGGATAATTTATAAAAATTGATTAACACAGATTAATGTGACATGTACAATGTATAAATGGATTAATGATAAATAAAGCATCAAAAGTAATTCAGGATGACACTTTACCCTGTGATTGATCTAGATATGCTCATTTCAATCTTTTTAATCAGTCTGATGCAAAATCACAATAATTATTGATTGATCAATCATGTTTTCGATGAATGAAGCTGTTAGATCCACTATACCTTAGGATTTAAATAGATCCTAATGATATCACCCTTCTTCTTGTAAGCCATTATCATATGAGTCACAGTGCACTCCTATGCATCTATCACATTTGTTTTCATTATTGTATAGTTTTATAGGGATCTGGTCTTAGTGATTTGAGCTTAAGTAGATCTGCTCTCTTTTGGTTTACATAGAATAACATTAATTTTTTTAACATCAGATCTGGTAATTAATTTCATCACCAAATATTTGCATGGATACATAAATCAAATATCGCATGATATTTGTACTTGTCTATGGCATTATTTGTACTCTATGAAGTGTAGTTGGATAATATTACAGCTTACTTTTAATCTTACATCACTGCAACAATCTCATGTGCATGTATGCTCAGTTCTCAAGTTAGGGGGGGGACAGGGGGTAGGAGTCTCCCGCTTCCTGTGCCATGCTCTCCTGCCTCCCGTACTTATGTGCTCCCTTGCCTCCCGACCCCCGCCCTCCATTGTGTTGCTCCTGTCTTCAGGTTAATCAAGAGGATCAGAAGCCCGGGTTTAACTTTCATACAGAGCTAAAAGTTAATATTCTTGTTCATTTGGGCTGGCCTTTGTTTTGGCTGGGGATCATTAGTTCCCGATGAAAGCTACTACTGGTCAGTTTTCTTACTAAACTAAGTTTCACTAACCGGGTTATCACAGTTTGATCATCGTAACCGCAACGTAATGATCGAGACAGTAAAAAAAAATAGCTGTTAATCTACATCTACAAAGGTGAACGATTTGAAAAAGACGCAATCCTTGATGTGCGTACTCATTTTAAACAAACTGAGACATTTCAGTATACACACTATAGTTCCTGTCACTCACAAGGAGTTAAGAAAGGCTTCATAAAAGGGGAGGCCCTTATACTTCTCAGAACAAGCTCCTCTCAAGCAATATTTGAGGAGAAAATTGTAAATTAAGTGATGCGGATGTTGTTACACATGTCGTGACGTCGTGTCACGATTATGTTTGCAATGTATTGTGGTTAGAAGAAGAAGGAATGAGCACGCCTTCAAGATGGCATGGTAATGTTGTTATTAAATGTTGTTTTTTTGGAAACGAGCCTTTATTCTGTCTTGAATGATTGAGCGAACCGCGAACTATGAGAACAACAACAGATTGTTAAAATTTGAATATTCTACAATTAAGCGCATTTGCTAAAGAGAGGCTACCCAGAGGACCTCATTAACAAAACCCTCTCAGAGGTGAATTTCAAAAACAGGAAATTAGTTCTTCAACAGAAACAAAAGACGAATAAACGAATCTTGCCTTTTGATACACAATACCAACCATCAGTGCCAAACCTAAAGTAAATTCTCATGACACACTGGCATTTAATAGAAACACAACCGCTACTGAGCGAAATAAACAAAAATCCGCCCCTTGTATCTAACCAAAAGAGGATGGTCGCGCAAAGATACTCGCGATGGCCAAACCTTGAATAGGCTATTCTAAACACGCGCTGGGGAGTCATGTAGGCCTGTCAACCCCATTTTACATCGACAGCTACAACTTACCAGACACTGTACATGTCATGCTATCTCATGACCAATGATGTAATCAATTTGAAAGGATTCACAAATTTACCGGAAGTAATGCTGTTTTTTCCAGCCCGGGTACAAATTTACGTTTTCTTGCCTCCGAAAATGTTTTTAAGCATTGGTAGATATTAAATGGAAATTTCAAAACCTTGCTTGATAAGTGTTTATGACTGAGTAATACCCGGTAATAAACAACAAACTATCGCCTTATTTATTTCTGCTCCCGGTTCCCACCCTCATGTAGATACCGCTTCCCACCCCTTGTTCTCCTGCTTCCCTCCCTCTCCTGCCCCTTGTTCTCCCGGGCTCCCGTCCCCCTGTCCCCCTCCACAAGTTAACACTGTCAGATAACTATCATACTACTTAATTACATCACTATCGCCATCAAGACCACGATCAATGTACCAGTCTCCTTCCCATATCCATTCTACTGATGGCAACTTAAATGATTCCTTTGGGAGAGACCGCTTTCCATCTTTACTGCTAAATTGCCATCGATCAGAGGGGAACATCTGGAAAAGACCATAACATCAACAACGAAGTTAATTAAATTGTCATAACCATTTAGTGAACAAAACACTTCACAAAAGCTTAACATAACCTCTTTAAATCTCTTCTGTACCAGTGAGTGCTTGATGTCTCATGAGACTGACTAATCTGACAAATGGAGGAATTGTAAAAGGTAGCATCTTTAACAATGTTTGATATCAAATAAAGTATAAACCAAGTTACTTGGAAAAGCATCTCGAAAAATGATACTGCCATGCAAGAAACCACAGGCAGCTGGTCAGTTTGCTGTTAACCTGCTAACAGAAGGCACAAACACAGACATTTCCTGTTTCCGAAAGCGGAAGTATATTTAGTGTAGAGCCTAACTGTAATTGAATCCGTTAAAACAAGCCACGAAACAAACGAAAAGCATCAGTCATTCTTCCTCAACATGTTAATTTAATTGAAATAGTGATGTGAAACGAGTAGTGGTACGATCTTACCGATTTATGCGACCATTTATTAAGAATTCCCCAGCGCTGATTCTCATATGTTTCCACCTTCACTCTGATAGGAAGTTCAGTTGCGTGAACAAACAAATAAGGCTGTTGACTGGCACTGATTGCCCATGCACACTGCTCCACTGCTGAAACACGCTTAAAAAAATTCCTTGATCCAAGTTTAGGAGTTGTTATATAACGCCAAGACTTGTCCCGTAGGTCAAATATGAACACTCGTCCATCTCGGTCGATCAGCCACAGCCGACTTACTCCCATTTCTGGATAACCGGTTTTATATCACATGCAGCTCGGTTACTTGAAAAGTGTCGTTATGGTGTTAGAGAGGGATAATCGTTTTCAATCCAGAGAATGACATAGCAGCAGAAATTTTCACTGCCTTGCAATTGTACCAGTCATATTCTTCAATAAACAGGGTAAAATTTCGGTAAAATTAACGCCCGGGCGACCCGGGCGGAGTGTGGGGGTCTTCAGCGGACATGCCTTTAAGGTTATCAAATCATTTAAGTGTCATGAACTGTCTCCCCGCTATTCTGGGCGCGACTGGACAACTGGAAAGGACTAAAACAACGAGGACAATTCACAGTTTCGGATATAAATCAAACAGAAATCTCGTCACTTACATATGTATCTTCAATAAAATTTGTGCAATTCACAGTTTCTGACATCAACTAAACAGGAATCTCATCACTTATCTTTATAACGCAACTTTTGGTAAAATAAAAAATTCTCAGAAATTTAATGAAAAAATAAAACTAGAAAGTAACAAAATAAATTGAAATTAAAATTGAAACGGTAATAAGGTGAGATGATAATACAATATAAGATACATAAATTCATACTTTCTTATTCTACCTCTAATTACTAGTACTTAGTTTTTATTAACCGAGCGGGAGGTCTGTATGGGAGAATCTTGACCGAGGTCGCCAGTACAGACCGAACGCAGTGAGGTCTGTACCAGCGAGCGAGGTCAAGATTCTCCCATACAGAACGACCTAGCTCGGTTAATAAGATGTTCATTAAATGGCTGTCTTATATGCCAATTTGTTATATTCTTTGTACCTTTTTTTTTCCTAGACCGGTCTAGATGCCGGTCTAGATGGGAAAATCTAGACTGCTTTCAATATTGATTTCAGCCAATCAAATTCGTGAATTCGGTTGTTCCCAGTCCTTGTGAGACACAGCCATATAATAAAAACAGATAATATATTATTGCGTAAACAAATAAATAAATCCACGTATATTTGCAATAAACACGTACAGGTATCGAACATATAAAGTTGCTTACAGTTAAACTGAGTGTACTCCCTTAACGCCCAGAGTACATTATTTCCGCGACACGTCCGTGATTTTAAGATTCGCATATTTCGCCACACTAAATTTTCCGATTTTTAGCAAAATAATTTCGTATTTTTTATCAAAATTCTGTATTTGGTATCAATTGATTTAGCTTTGTTATTTGAACAAATCCTAAAGGACGCTCGCGCGAAAGTCTTCTGACATTTCATTACCTAAGTGGCATGAATTGGTCTCATGATAACGATACCTAAGGTCGTCATACATATTGTTATACTCCTGACATAATCGTTGCACGTGCATACCATGAGGTAATCGGATATCCCAAGGGACACAATAGAGCATATGTACTTATAAGCTGAATCATTATTCAGTTGATTAAACCAGACGTGATTTATAAGATACATTCTCGATTTATTACACATATCTTCAAAGTTAATACCACTGTTTACTTGCTTTTGGACCTGGAAACGTGTGGTTATTCACTCAATAAAAAGACCATTAATTTTTTTTCTTGATTATTGACATAATGTGTACCTCATTTTCGCGTTATGATATGTCGCGACACTTATTTTTCGTGTCGCGTTAATGTCTCGATAATTTCTTCTTGAAATTCGCGAAATAAACGTGTCCCGAAAATTGCTTGTAAATAGGTGGTATGCTATTCAACTACAGGTAGCTCTTAACGGGGACGAAAAAAGAATGGTTGTGAGAGAACTTCGGAGTATTCAAGACCAAGGCACTCTGCATGGAAATACTGGGTGCAACCATCACAGCCCACCCAGTCTTCTCTATCATCATCACGGCAAATCTTGCAACATTAGCATTTCTGGCGGGAAAGGTTTATCGATTCACGTATGACCATGTCAAATGTCCTGTGCGTTTTCGTGACGCCTAAACAAAACACGTACTTTAAAGGCATGTCCGCTGAAGACCTCCACACTACGCCCGGGCGTTAATTTTTCCCCACTAAACAACAACAATCGCGATCGTGGGCACATACATATCGTTCCCAGAGGCCTCGTTTGTTTTTGGTCACGTGGTTTGAGAGGTAACTGGTGGAGTCGCCCGTAAATTATCTCGCCCGTGGTCTAATAACAGGGGCGTAGCCAGGATTTTTCAAAGGGGGGGGGGGTCACAGAGGCTACTCACCACTTACAGCGCTGCTCTCCGATCTCCCGCGTGTATCAGCGGGCTCAGTCGTATTATCGCGGCATGAAGGCCCATATCAATGGCTTTTACGGCCAAGATATTGTCATGGCGTTTTCGCCACCTGAATATTGTAGGTTGTTTGCTGTAAAGAAGACCTACCAAGGGGGGGTCACGGGCACCTCAGGACCCCCTCTGGCTACGCCCTTGAATAATACCTTTATTTATTACCTTTGGCGATAAGAATTACGGTATTATTACCGTAAAAAAATTTAAAATTCAAAAATTCAAAACACAACAAGTGTATATACAATTAAGCTATGTCAAATTAAGTTAAGTTTAGCACCCTTAGGAATAAGCGAGTAAAGGCTGATAGTTTCAATAGAAACTGTTTGGGGCTGCTTCGGTGGGAGTAACGAAATAATTTGGATATATCAACAAAGTTGAAGTGGTAAATTGGCCACCGTAACGATTACAAAAGCTGACGTTTCGAGCGTAAGCCCTTCGTCGGAGCGTTAGCTCTTCGTCCGACGAAGGGCTAACACTCGAAAAATGTTTACATTTGTTTAATTCGCTTTGGAGGAAGGAGCTGTAGGAAGTACTAAGCAGCAAGAAATCATTTTACAAATGAATATGGTAAAGCATAGTCGAGTTAAGCAAGAGACCGCAATTTCTATCGGTTTACCGGCGCAATAAACCACGTGGGATGTTAGAAGAACACGAGAAAAGTTTGTAAACCACGAACCGGAGGCGAGTGATTTTCAAACTGTTCGAGTACTGTGACCAAAGACGAGAGACCAGTTATCACACACGACACTACTCGTGCGATAAACACCGTGACGCCGTTTTGGACAGGTCCCCAATTTAACAAGGTACTCTGTGCTGATCGAAGAGTCGGCCGGAGGCTAGTATGTACTATTCCTTGCCAGCAGTGACCAAAGTAAGCTAATTTTGATTTCAATTAACCCATGATACCATCCTCTTGCTGATAAGCCCCCCTATTCTCGCCACATGTTTGTTGAATGATGTTATGTGATAATTCACTTCAAACCGTTGACGTTTCTCCACTCTGAGGATTATGTAATATGTGTATCCTCGCACCATCAAACTGTTGTCGAATGTTATTGTAAAAGAAGTATCGTTGAATGGCAATCTTCCGGGTCCTTTATTAAAGCAGCCTCCAGATCCAGTGGAGGCTGACGAATCGTCAGCTTTTGTAATCGTTACGGTGGCCAATTTACCACTTCAACTTTGTCGATATATCCAAATTATTTAGGAATAAGCGATTGTTTGTGCCTAATATGGCGTGATGCAAGTATTCTGATGTGTGCTGGGTTGGTCTCACAAGATCTTAGGTTATGGCCATGATCTACAGCCTTGTCTAAAAAACGTTTACAAGGATGCGCTTCAGATTCTAGGATACGTTTAGATTCTTTCCTCGTCAATTTGGGATGCCTAGTTACAAGTGACTCAACAGTATCACTAGGGAGTCCTACGGCATTTAGGCATCTATTCTGCACTCTCTGTAGATCTTCTTCGAGGTAGATGAGCCGCCCACCACAGACAGGCGAGACAAATTCTAACACAGCTCTAATCTTAGTGATGTATGTTGTTAGGCCAATGTCCCTGGGAAGATGGGCTGTTCTGCAGACCCTAATATAATGGATCCGTTTACACGCTTTGCTGACAATACTTATGATATGTGGATTCCACATGAGATCGTTCTGTACATACACACCCAAAAATTTAAACTCTGTAACTCTCTCCAGTTCAGAAGGCCCGATGCTAATAGGAGGTGCAATTGGACAGGACTTCTTGAAGGTGATCCACATATCTTTGGTCTTCTCAGCATTTACCTCCATTTTATTCTGCACAGCCCAACTCTCCACGTGAGTCACGGCACCTGCATTTGACTGACAGAGTCCTTAGAGACAAGTTCATATAGGGTGCAGTCATCAGCATACTTGCAAGCGGTATTCCCCTGGGGATGCAGTCCTCAATATCGTTGACATGCACGTTAAAAAGTGTAGGAGAAATGAAACCGCCCCAGGGCACACCAGTAATCACCTCACCATGTCTGGAGAGGACTCCCGGGAGCTTAACCTGCTGTGTGCTGCCTGATAGGTAGCTTTGTATCTATTTCCAAAAGCCCCTTGGCGATGCCCATACCGCCGAGTTTAGTCAACAGAACACCATGACCTACTAGATCGAAGGCTTTTTGGAAGTCGACAAGGACCACATGCACGCCATTATATGGACCTCCAGAATCTGTAGCGTTGTACAGTCGTGTATGATGCTGGCAAGCGCAGTCACAGTAGATCTGTCTTCCGTAAAAGCATGTAAGGAAGCATTAAGACTCAGGTCCTTTAGGTTAAGCTTCAGCTGGATTCTCTCCAACACCTTGGCGACTTGTGGCAAAACTGAAATCTGCCTTAAGTCATTGTTTATATCCGTCGGATTATCAACCTTGGGTACCGGGCTGACTAGAACATGCTTGTAGCTGGTGGGGTACTTGGACTGCACTATACTGGCACGGATAATATCTTGTACAAATGGCGCCAGTTCCTCGTGAAACCGTTTAAGGCGCCAAGCAGGCACACCGTCAACACCTGTTGCTTTCCTCGGATTCACATGGTTGAGAATAGCGTTGACCTGCCCTATATTTGGAACAGGCGGAGGTCTGTCGTCCAGGTCATTGGTAATCTCACTAACTGACAGTGGGGTTGGTTCTCGGTCCTTCCACGGAGCAGCAAAAGCGTCAAGCAGAAGATCCGCTGTTTTCTGTAATTCAGCCTTGTTTGGCGTATTTGGGGTTTTTGACAACTGCTGGGCACCATAGAGCGAGTAGATACATTTAAACCACTTGTAACAGAGATCACGGGCCTTCCTTTCATAGAATTTACGCTTGGCACTGGATATGAGGGCTGCTATCAATTTACGCTTTTGTTGGTATTTTTCCATGTTACCTTTAATCCAAGCCCTTTGTCTGGTACGTGTTTCCTC